CTACCTCCAATATATCAAAGCTATCGTTTGCATTATAAGAGTTTCTTAATCTTTCCTTTATTTTAATCCGGGCTCAAACCTTGCAGGAGTTGTTTGGCATATTGACCCTATATCATCGGATCAAACTTCCATAGTAGTGCAAAAAAATCTATAGAATTCTGCAGTATGTAGTCATGTATACTATGGTAAGATCCGTTTTCGAATTTCCTTTTCAGACTTTAAAAGAACAAAATAAGTTTATTCAAATTACTAAATGATCTATACAATAATGATCAGAGTATCAAAGTATAATGCTGCGAAATTCTAGGCTGTTGTTAAGCCCTACTAATTACTCTTCTAACCCACCAAAGTCACAAAAAGAACGAGTGAAGAAGTGATCCTGGCACGCAGATTCATTTCACTTTAATTTCTCTCCTAGATCTATGTCTAATTTATTTCTTTACAACTGATTGTAAAAGTCGAAAAATAGCTGACAGGAGATGAACATGGGCTTCCCCGTCCGAACATCTCTTATTTTGGATCTCACTTTTGTTACCACACGAGAAAAGGTCGCATCGTGGACAATTTTTTTAGTTAATTTATTCATGATTTGTTGGTAGTCGATGAAATCGAAAATCTTTCTGCGTTAATTTTAACGCAAACAAATTATCCCTTGCGTGCCATAACAGCTTATAAAAACTACCACAACACTCAGAAAGGGAACTTTTCTCTAGCACCTGATCATTTTCGAGGCAGGAAATTGATTTGTCAACTTGAAATAAAATGATGCCTAAGATCACTTACTTACCTTCTTTGCAACCATAAATCTCCACTCGCATGGAGATGTAGCTTTGCTAACGTTTCGGATGGAAACGAACGCTTCTGGCAAACGCTCTGATATGCGGGCTGAAGACATGTTTGACAACTGTTGTCCTGTCGCTGTTTGCCAGGAATGTCTACAAATAAAGGTGATAAGTTTGATAACGTAATCATTCCGAGCAGGCGACACTCGATCTAAGTTCATGACACGATTATGAAAACAAAACTGGTTTATAATCCAGTTAACTGCAGGAAAAAAACGAACACATTATTTACTGGTCTAAGTCGGGCTAAAATCGTGCTTTAGTTCTGAAGTCCTCAGGCTATAATCGTAACCTCGGGTAAGGTTTTCCTTATGTAGACCTTCCGCTTAATAATAAACAAACACCTCGCATGGCCGTGCACACATAGCATGAGGCGTGCAGTTGCATTATTGCCACGAAGTCTCTGTCGATTTTAACTACGAGGTATCATTGGTCTACTTCCCGACGGGCAATTTTTCCCGATGTGTATGGGTTTCTTTTTCTTCCCGCTAAGAATACATACAATGTAGCAGGTATATTTTAAGAGTTCAATACATTTTTTAATTGTATGCATCGTCAAATTTAGCTTGAAGAGTGGCTATATTTTGAGCTATTTAAGAGATGTTGTGATGTTGAAGATTTACTTTTTAACGAAAATATATTGTACAAAAAAAATATCAATAATGATAACGATAATAATGATAATAATAATTTAGTGTAAGCAAAAAAGTCTAAGTGTGAACAAAATCAAGCAGTGACACATAATTGAGCACATAATCTAAATTTCTAAATATGAGGGTCCAACGGAAGCCAATGTTAACACAACTTGACGTGGAAGGGTTAATTGAATATTAGGGTAAAATTAAAAAGGAGATACAAGACCAAATTAGAAGACCTAATTATCTGTTTTTTTCTGATTACCTTCACTTGGCTGTTTTCCTTGATAAAAACCCACATAAAGTCATCTGCAGTGTAGGACAATGAGAAGCTTGTCACCCACTGATTGGAATCGTGTCGACCCTGAGTGGCCACGCCTCGTACGTTGAACAGATATCCAAGATTTATCTAAAAGATGCAGAAGCATTTCCATCAAAAACGCTTCCTTATCACTGACTCCGAAAATCTGAGCCGATATCGTGTATGGAGTAGTATTAAAGTCTACGCCATGCGAATCCCATGTTGAAATACCACGAAGCATGGTACAGGTACGTTCGTATGTTATTTTTTTAATTCAACTCGTATGTAACTGATGTGTGTAATTCTATATCGTTCTGAAAGCAATTTGCATAGGTAATTGCATGATTTCGAGTGCAATTTAGGATAAATCAGCACAAGTAAATTTTTCAAAGGCTAACCAAATTTCCCAATCCCGTACGGCGAGTGCAATTTAGATACTTTGAGAGATTTATTCCCTGCATTTTGAGAATAACTGAGCGTTTGTATTCTTTCTCTGTTAGGTATATATCGGTCGGCAGGAGCAACTTAACTGTCAATTAATTTAATTACAACTTTCTGCATTCAACTTCAACTTTCTGCAAGGTTTGGAATTAATTGACGTGTTCTCAGCTAATGAGCATGCTGAATTTTTTGCATGTATGTTATTAGTATAGGTAATCACATGATTTCGAGTGCAATTTGGAATAAAAAAGCACGAGTAAATTTTTTAAAAGACTAATAATATCATAATTAAACATAAGCAAA